TTGGGTAGGAGAACAGCCTGGATGTTTGGCAGAACACCTCCTTGTGCAATAGTCCATATCCATATCTTAAAAGACCCCCCCCTCCCTCGTATTCTAAACGATGACAGCAGCGTTTCTCGCTTACAACAGATATTCAACTAACTCAATCGAATGAAAGTCTTGATTGACATTGACGAGATTCGATCCACCAAGAGATGAGCCGGTGACCAAGCGCATCATTTGAAACCCCATCGCTGAATTATTACATCTCGGGAGCTGATGAATGCTGCTGAAGAAGCAAGGGGTGGTTGATTTTGACCGGAAGAAACGAAACTCTTCTTGGAAAATCGGCAATCAGGCAGTCTATGGGGTGGTCCCGCCGAGTGCGCTCTCAGCAAAATGCTCTCGGCAGGGTTCCTATCGTGACATTTCTGAGCCAAGCGTGGGGAGCCAACTGGTGGCGGGGGCCCAGCGTGGGAACCTGGCTTCCGGCGGGGTCCCAGCGTGGGAGCCTGGCCGCCTGTCAGCTCCATAAACTAGCGGACGCTGAAAAACGATCGAGACGAACTTCTGTCCACCTACTCCACGATGACGCCAGGCCCCACATAGCTAAAGAGACCCGTGCAAAATTGGAAAGCTGATCTGGGACGCGATTGCCCACCCACCCTATTCCCCTGACATATCGCCTCGAGTCTGCATATCGCCTCATGTTGAAAATTCCTTCATGTCATTTGAACAGCCCTTTTTAGTAACCCTTTACGTCCTTGGTGTCTAAACTGCAGAAAACGGTAAACGGAGCGCACAAATTAGTCGAATTCTTTCACGACGAGCCGCGCACTGCACATTCTCGAGAGCCGGTTCCCCATCCACTTCGACCAGGTTACCGCTGCTGTGACAATTACATTCGGCTCTTATGACTAGTATCCCCTAATCTTTGCCAAGTAGACCCCTAATACAACACCCTTCGTCGAGGATCAACGGACACTTAATCCTGTACATGAAAAAGCACAAGAAAATCAAAGTCAACAAGGTGCATTTTCAAATGACAGCCATCGTATCATACAATATTTATTTATTGAGTTAAAGCTACATGCAAGACAAAGAAAAATCACATTTGTCGTACGGAACAGGTTGTCTGATTACACATAAAAGGGCTCAGAAATCATGACAGGAGAGGCAATACTTATCATAAATCGATATATACATAAAAATATAGGAAATAGATGACCTGAATTCGAAGACACTATAATAACGACTGCAATTAGATTCATATGCGTGAAACTAGAATGGTGCCTCACAATAGCGCACAAGTAGTAAAACACGACCCTGCTGTATTCTCCTTGAACTGTGCAGTCATTTGTTCGCTTGCGAATTGGACGTACTGTTCATGTTGCTCTGGAACATTGCTCATTGATCGCGATATTGAATAATGAGAAGGGGAACATCAAGGAAGAAAAAACTCGAAAGGAGTTTACCATCCAGTTTCTGATTCAGGGCCAGTTCATACTCGTACCGCAGACGCATTTCCTGCTTCTTTAGGAGAAGCTCGCAAATCATCCGTACCTTAAAGAGTATAATTAGGAGTTTCAAAACAACGGTTCCACCAAGGAGAATGAATTGACCATACCTGTTTGAGACTGAACTGAGGTTTCTCTGCAAGTGCTTGGTAATTCGTTGGTGCCACTTTTTCGGGCGCGAGAACCCTCGCCTTCTGAATCTGATCCGGACTGAAAAAAAATACATGAGAGGATAGTTGAGTACCTGTTCGTCTAAACTGAAATCTGTTTTTCTATAGTACGAGCCATATTTCGATTGTTTCGCATGGAACGACCACAACGGTGTCTATTTACGGTTTACGGACTACTTGAACTTTCTTCCATGGTCCTGCCACGAATGCCCCGGAGCCCGGAGGGCACAGACAGTAAGAACGGCGCCAGGCTCGGCTGCAAATACCAGGGACGGAGGTGGAAGCTGGACTAAGCCAGCCAGCCGAACGATCGGCCAGCCAGCCGAACGATCGGCCAGCCAGCCGAACGATCGGCCAGCCAGCCGAACGATCGGCCAGCCAGCCGAACGATCGGCCAGCCAGCCGAACGATCGGCCAGCCAGCCGAACGATCGGCCAGCCAGCCGAATATGGAAACCCCTTCCTCGTGGATTACAGTATGCACTGCTGAGGGGTGCGCAATCGATGAACGGATGAGAGATTCGGTAAACATGAGTGCATAATTCTATTTTCCCAAAATCGTCATCTTAACCTCCGCCTATCAATTCGAGATCGTAAAAGCGCCTTAAAGCATATGGTGTTCTGAATGGTTGCTTAGTCAATGCAGTGGAGGCATCTGTAGCGAATCGGATCGGTTCACGGCGCGAACTTGCCTTCCCCAGATTCAGCAATTTGTTCTAATTCTGTGATCGATTGAACATGAAACCATTTTTAGCTTGTTCGTTTGGTTTGATAGTTTCGTTAAATGTTCATTCCGATTTAGGATTCTTGTCTTCCCAATTACATGTAATTCTGTGAATCATCAATTAATTAGATACGATTCAAACTTCGAATCGCTGTTGTTGCGATTCAAGAGCATGGGAATGTGGCGACGGTACCCTCTCGCTCTTGCGCAGACTCTCGCCACTTTCTCATGTTGTCGATGTGACGGCGGCGAGATCAAAGGCGCTCGCAGGAAAGCCCTCTCCACTTTCCCATATTCGTGAATCAAAACAATCACTGTGCAAAAATTGACACAAACTTCGAAAAAAAAATCAAAATTTTCCTTACTACATACGTAGAGACTTGTGTTAGAAAAAAGGTGATGGTATTTATCGTAATGGTTGGATCAAACTGGACTAGCGTTAAGCGAAGAGCCTATATTTGTTGGTAAGCGTAATTCTCAAGCAATTAGAACAAGAAGAAAAACCATAGACATTTATTTCAACACCATCAGTTCACCTGTTATACATTCATGAACTCGTTACTATAGGATCGCAGCTCTTAAGGATGTCATTGGGTTGGGTTGATATTGCTTGTTTTTATGCTCGTTCCCCTCGGATACGGCGGCGATCTAACAGTGTAGTGCTAACAAGTTGGCGTGGATGCTGCACAAGTTGAAGTCTTCGAAAAGATCAACAAGATACGCTTCAGAGGCCTCCTGAAGAGCCATCACAGCCGACGACTGAAAACGCAGATCGCCATCTTGAGATTGTGAGCAATTCAGCGAACAAGGCGTTAAAACCTTTAAAAAGATGAGCAGCTTGGTCAACTCCTGGTATTCACGGTCTCACTAACAAGGGTGGCCGAATGATTGGCCAGCCAGCCGAACGGATCGGCCAGCCAGTCGAAGTGGGTGAGGGCGCAGAAATGCCGGCACCGAAAGCCGATGAAATGAAATGAAAGCGATTTTACAAAATTAATGAAGTAATTTTGTTCATCTCCGTGCATTCTTTCTAAGAAACGTGAGTTTTACTGAATGGACTGGATCAGGCTTTATGCCAATTTCAAGTGTCTATATCTCGTCGAGGAAAGTAGTTCTCAAACAATTAGATCAGAAAGAAAAACTGTAATGGAATTATTGACTTGAAGGGAATCGTTGGGATAAATTGAGATCAATTCTGAAGGAATTGATCCACGGACTCGTAAAAAATTGGATTGATGGCTGTTGAATATGACCTGTTGAGCGCTGCTTGGATAATTGTAAGGAGGGTGCTCCTGTTCTCAGGACCTACAGTATCGTGATTGCGTTTTCAACATGGACGGAGATTAATGAGACGAATACTAGAGCAGCCCATACTGGTCGAACGCGAATCCCAGCATCCGTGTCATCGCAAACGGAAATCAGGATGGATGGCACTTCCCTTAATGGAGCCGTTTACTATAAGCATGCAGTACAACGACCTTGTAATCCAGGGACACTTGCTGATAAATTGCTGGCCACCGTAACTCAAATGGGGCGACATTTAAAGCAATGGACGAAGTGAGTTGGATAGTGATATACAACGGCGGGATCACACTTAGTTCAACAGACCCCTGATAAGTCAAGGCCTCTTCAGCTCCTCACTTAGTCAACAGTAGGATCAACAATGGGCTAGTACACCAGCCACTGTTGATCCTATTCAGATCATGGACGTTTCGAATGCATTCATGGCGTACAGCGGGGCTACGGTATCTTACCTAACCTCTGTCGAGGCTCAAGTAGCCCTAAAATGGTTATATTCAGCAGGGAGCAGCGAGACACTGGAGCGTCGGGGAAATTGGGAAAATCTTGAAATAGCTTAGTGACCTGTAGTTATGGGGTACCGCACCTACCCTCACTTGATACGAGGCTTCTACAACATTGAAATTTCTTACCCTGCTCTTGGATCTCCGACCACAAAACAGTCATTCATTAAGTTTCGTTGATCCCTGTATCATGATAACAAAAAGAAAATTGTCAGGTGGCTCAATTTTGAGCATTTTTAACACGCTGGATCCTAAATGCTACAAAACTGTTAGCAACGGATGGCTGGCCCTTGCTCGAATGGTTTAGAACCTCTCTGAAGCTATCTCTAAACTCATTTCCCGGGAAACGTTGTCTTTCGAGGAGGTGTGACTGACGCTATTGAATTGATTCGTTTCATTTTGCCAGGATTGAGTCATCTGGGGAAATATAATTGGGAATAAGGTGTTACATATGTAAATAAGCTGTGCTAATAAAACATCACGCCCTCACATATGTTGGAATACATTCTTTCTTACTTGTTTGGTTAAAAAGTTCGGTAATGATTCTATCCGATTCGAAAATTTCGGCTTTTTGATCATGTGTGTATTTATTAAACGTCAAATTGGCTACATCTCGAACTCAGAATAGCCATCGTAGCGAGTGGTAACTCGCGGTTAAGAGCCATGAGAGACATCCGATGAGAGACTCCGCTGAGATGAGGATGTTCAGATGGGAATGCACGGAACGGGAAACGGAAGAAACAATGACAATCAAGAGCGAACACGCGGACTGCTCCTGTGCAGGAGAAGGTGCGAGTGGGAACTACGACGGTGCAGGCATCTCAAAAGAATTGACACTGCGACAGCATGGTGTTAACGCTGGGGCAGAGATCTATGTTTCCTAAGAAAATCCTTGATAATGTAGTACGTCATTAGCACGAGGTCTGCGCAAGTTTTCTTGAGCTTCTCGTGATGACTGTGCGTACACGCAATTCCCCCCCCCCATTCGAGATGCCCCATTCTAGTTCGTGGAAGCCTTGGAATACCGTAGCGACCTAAAGCTATAGGACACCATGACTACCAGGCTTCTCCGACATCGATATCCGAATTCTTAATACCCTGCCCTAGCATTTCCTACTAAAGATAAAGATATCAGCCATTTATTTATGTTTCGCTGGTAATGGTAATATAATCCAGGACTGGGTAAGTTTTGAATTCTCCAATGGTTTGGGTCCAAGCTGCAACAAAACTCCCTCAAATTCGCCTTGAATCTCTGAAATACCTCTGAAACCATCTCGATCATTTTTTCTTCTTTTTTCTTGGACGTTTCGCTTCTTCTTGTCATTGTAGAGTCATTTGGGGCTGGGAACATTGCGTCACATATAAAAGAACTAAGCTGGGTTTGTATAATCTCTATGCTCTTACATTCAAGGAGGAATTCAAGAACTTTTTTCTCAATTGTTTAGTTTAAAAGTGTCGGTAAAGGCTCTGTTCCATTCGAAATTCTCGGCTTTTGATCATATGTGTTTCTATTATTCATTACGTATTCTCGAACTCAGAATAGCCAGTGTAGCGATTAGTGGGCATGGGAAAGTGGCGACGGCACACTCTCAATCGTGCACAGACTCTCGCCACTTTCTCATGGTCTCAATGAGAAGGCGGCTAGATCAGAGGCGCTCACAATAAGGTCCTCGTCACTCTCCCATGTTTGTGAATCACAACAACAGCTCTGCTCGAAATGAAAAGGATTGATTGAAAAGTTAACGAAAGAATTTTGTGCAAAAATTGACATAAGTTCGGGATCTCCGTCCATATTCTTATCGGATAAACTTGAATATCTACTGTATGGACTAGATCAGCCTGAATTATCGCCAATTCAAAGTGCCTGTATCTGTTGGAGAAAGTAGTTCTCAATCAGAACAAAAAAATCGTAGGCGTTTATTCCCTTCAGTTCACCTACTACAGCTTTATGAACTCGTTTTAATGGGATTGTTGTTCTGAAGGGGATCATTGGGATAGATTGAAATCAACTCGCGGTCAGGGGTTTTCGAACAATAACAGTAAGGTTCTCCAGCTGCTTCTACAACAGGTGCGGATTTGCTAGCTGCCTTGGCTGTACCTGAAGTCCTCTCAAAAGGATAACGCTGGCATGTATTCGGCCTTGATCACTTTCGTTTTGAGAATCGACTTCCATATCACCTTCATTTTGAGCCGAAAGAGCAAGTCCAATGCACTCAGACCCAAATAAGCACTTGCGGGGTCAGGCTATGTAAATTCAGTTTATTTTTTTATTTATTTTTGCTATAGAGGAGTATGATGTCACTGGACGGAACCTCTGGAGAGGGGAAGCTTAGATGGCGCAGATGATGCACACCCATGACTTGATCCCTAGCCGTGAGCATAGTAAGCAGATCGTTTCCCATTACACCACTTCCGCTCAAAAAAAGCACAAATCAAAAACAATAGATAGAAAAGATTTCCTGGATGTCGAAGTGGAATTCCGGGTTTCATATTCAGGAAACCTTTCCGATGTTGTCTAGAAATTTCTCAAAAAAGCTACTATGTTCTCGATGTTCAGATGCGTGGCAAATTCTGAGCACAAATTGACGAACCGATCAAAATTTTGAACGGGTTTATCTAAACCAAATTAATTTGAAAAATAAGTAGTTTAGGGTACCTCATGTGACTGCTCAATCCCTATCATACTTCGCATAGAGGTTTTTCCAAGAAATTCTATCATATACACTGCGGAAACAGACTTTATTTCATATTATGTGAAACCCAAAACACTTTTGCCGAGGAAACCGAGGATTGGCCAGTCCGAAACTTGATTGTATTCTGTACTTGGGTCAATCCGTTAAAAATCTTTAGCGAGTTGAACCAAGTGCAGAGTACAACCATGTTTCTCAGCAGGCACATTTAGTTCCTTACCAAGGTTGTGCTGACTTGAAGTCGATTGGCGTAAACATCCCTGAGGTCATGTCGAAAGTTTATTTCTTGAAATCATCATTCTTTCAAAGCAATAAAAATTGACCCTGATTTGTTGAAAATTCGCTTCTTTTTTTTCAGTGGATAATCATTTGGAGTAGATATTTTATGTATATGTACCTCTTATATATCTCATGTCCACAGAGTGATAATTGAATTGTTGAGAAATGCGGGGGATCAATTAAGCGTCGCCTGCAACACAATAAGTGCCTCACTGTCTGCCTATGTGGGATTCTTACAATGAGCATGGAAGGTTGAATGCAAAACTCGCGATAATGTACTTCTGATTGACAGCTTTCCACTATCAAAAAACGTATAGTGGGTAAAATCGCATCTGCTAGAGGTGCTTATGAAAGGAAAAAAAAGATCGATGAAACACTATGACTGGATGCATGTATTACACTTTATAAGAAACCACCGTTTTATTAGGAACCACCGTATATGTTTTCAACGAAAACGAACACAATAAAACATCGTATTCGAATCAAGTGCTCTAATGTAGATCATGCCCACATCAGCAGTTTCTCGCATACTCGACTTCCACATTTCTCTATTGACCTCCACCGTTGCCCAGCCAAGGTCGCCGTGGTTGCCTAGAATACGGCAAGTAATAAGGAGGTAAATGGGAATTCCCACTCATCCGGTAAGGGGGTGGGGGGCATTGTGATGCAATTGTCAAGTGGCTGCCCTCACCCCCTACCCCATAGACTGCCTTCACTCCCCCTGGCTCACGGGGTCCCCCGAAACCTGTGTCTGTACTTCGAGAAAGTCCAGGGAGATGAGAGGGGGGGGAGGGCAGCCACTTTATGCCCCCTTACTGGATGAGCGCCAAACAACATGCGTTTTCAACGTCTATTGAATCGAAAATTCAAGGAAAGGAATGGTGGCAGGAAGGAGAGTCTGAGAAAAGCAGTAGAGACATGAAAGCAGACGAGATTACGCAAAGTCAAAATCACCTCCTTTCCATTTCATCACACCGTCCCTGGGCACACATTCATTCTTGGTATGTTCACAGTGGGTACTATCGAAGCCCTGCGGAGAGGCGAAATGATATGAAGCACCGAGATATCTGCACGTAGCTGAAATAGATCTACAGTCGGAATCCACAATTTAATCAGCGCACTCACCTAACAGAACTCATCTCAGCAACTGAGACATGCTACAATTCGGGCAGGCCTCCACGCACGAGGTAATCCATTGCAGCATTCGTCGCAGCCTGTAAGCACCCATTTGCAGAAGAGCTTATTGGGGTGAAGTTCAAAAAATGTCTCAGAGAAATTCATGGAAAAAAAATCTGATCAGAAGGATAAATAGCAAAGATACAAACATGGAACGGGATGAAGGTAGGTTGTTGGAGCTGAGGTTCATGCAGCGAAAAATGATTCGCGATGGGAAACGCGGAACAGGCTCTTTGTTCTAACGAGCTACACCTGGGGACGGGAATGGAGAGTCCTGAATCGGTACATGACGCAAGTTCACAAGTACAAAACGATGGAGCAGTGATCGTTCATTTGGGCACCTAGGCGACTTGATCTGAAGCGCAGTGGATTCGTGTGGGATCACAACTACATAGTATGTAGCGGGATGAAAATGTTGTCTACATCCCCTATTTCACGTTCAACATCCTTGAGAAAAATCGGTCCGAAAAGCACAGGCACATAAGCATAAGCAAATGTTGCAGTCACGGAACTCCTGAGGCGAAAACCCAATTGATTGTATCAATAAACCATCTGGCATCACAGTTTGGAATCTGCACCACGAAGAATAGAGAGCAAGCTGGAGAGCAGGCAAAAGCAATAACGAAAAAGGAATTGTGAAATCAAAAGAATATTAAGTGAAGAAGAGATATAGATGGTGGTTTCTTAGAATTGACTGCAAAAGGGGTGGCAGTGGTGTAGTAGCAAGTGACACGCTTACCACGCGAGCGGTCCGGGGATCAAATCCTGGGTCGTGAGTCGCCCGGGCCAACCAAGCCTTCCATCCCTCCGGGGTCGGTTAATTGGTACCAGACTTGTCTGGGAGGATAAAAACACTGACTTGTACATCGGCTGGCCCCCGCAAGTCATTGTATAGGCCACATCGCATTCAAACGCCACTACGAATGTACAAATGGAAGTAGAATGCGTGCCGCATCCCAAAAAGGGATTGATCAACGGCAAATGCTTTATCCTTATCTTTTTTATGCAAAAGGAATCAGACCCAATGGCAACACCAATGAGATGAGCCCTGTACCCGCTTTTTTTCAGGGGAAGACTGTTCAACCACAAACAAACGGTTAATTCACATGAACGGCGTGCTATTGATAAATCCTCTAGGACTAAGTCTTGGAGAGGAGAGGGACCTGCTAGAGAACGCAGAGGCGGTAAAGGGCTGAGTTCAAGTAGTCCGTCAACCGGTAAACCGGATCCTGTGTAAGCGTTCTGTAAAGCTCTGATTAAAATACTCGCACTAACGCTTATAGTTATATATGAAACCTCCAACAACATCACAAGATTCTCAGAACTTCACGAATCTTGGCAGTTTATGAAAAGTAGCAAATGGTATGAGAAAGTGTCAAATGAATTCGTTTTCTTCTCAAGTGATATTTCAACGAGAGGAGCTGATGGCCGCTGCAGAGTGGTGAGTCATAAACAAAATAGTGACGCACGAAACGAACTAAGACCTGTGCAAGCAAATTAAACAATGTAAGTCTGGGCCGAGTAAGATTTGTCATGGGATAAGTTCTGCTTTTAGCATGGCTCCAAGGAGCTACCCTAAGCTTTGGAGAGAGCATTTTGAATAACTCCTATATTAAGACCAAGAGAAACCTGAACTTCTAGCGTCCCGATAATTATGCATACCACGCATCATCCCCAAAGAAATCGGACTCGGTAGTTCAGAAAAGCATCCCCAAAAGTTCTGAATCCGATTTACACATGGAACAATTCCTATTCCCCTTTAACCTTCAAGATATGTCAACCAAACCCAACCTTGTAACAATTCATCCTTTCCATATGAGAAGCTAAGTAAACTCGGGTAGGAGAGAATTCCCCCCCCCAACACAATGCTTACCCGCAATTTTTTCAAATAGCTTAAACTGAGTTGCTAAAAGTATAGAAAATAAGCAGTCAGAAGTTGAAAACTGAACCCAAAAAAATACTAAACACTCGAAAACTTCCAAAATGAAAATAAGTTTGCAACGCCTACAAAACAAAGAAAAAACAGCGCAATAAATTGGATGGAAAACACAAGATTCCCGACCAGTGTAGCTAACTTTTAGCAATGTGATGGGGAAAATGAACCGCTAGAGAACTGTATGCTTCAACTTAGGTTCATACTACGACGTCTGATCATATAGAACAATTACCTAAGTGTTGATTATCGCCCGGTAGAGCAGAACCACTGTAGTGATATCGCATAAGGTACACAGCAACAAGTTTTGAAACATACACAACCGCGCTCTACACAACCGCGCTCTTCAAAGCTGTTCTCTTTTCGCGAACTGTACCCACAAAAATGAAGAATATTTTCACTTCAAATTCAAACCAGGGGCGGTATTCGATCCTTCCCCAGGGGGATATATCCCCCTACTCTGATTCAATCCTCTGGGGGGACAAAAAAGGGTTGCGTCATAGGACCTAGCATACCTCTGTGTTTCTACCTGCCAGACAGTTAGAGCAGCGCGACCCCTCAGGGAAAGAGTGCTTCATCAGTGGAGGGTAGCGCTGCTCTAACTGTCTGGCAGGTAGAAACACAGAGGTATGCTAGGTCCTATGACGCAACCCTTTTTTGTCCCCCAGAGGATTGAATCAGAAGAGGGGGATATATCCCCCTGGAGGAGGGATTAAATACCGCCCCAGCTCACGTGAGACATGAAATTTCCGCGGAAACCTCAGCGGTTCAGAAAATAGGCCCGATTAATTGAAATAGAGAAAAGCGAACACCTTAGGAAAGAAGCATACTCGAAAACTATTTGAACTGCTTGACGCAGAGCTTAGCAGAAATTCCAATACAGCTCAGACGCTTGGAAGCATTCGCCGATTCGCCGAATATTAAACTAAATGAAATATGATAGCCAATCTCAAAGAGCAAAATCCGAAAACATGTCGTGCACCACAAACGCTCCATGACAAGACTTGTGCTCGATTTCTTAGTTATGCTCCGACTACCTCTCTTAGTCACATGTAGGACTACCAGTGATGGACATAGAATTTGTCGCTTGAAGAGTCCCGCAGGAACCATAGCATGGAACTTTTCACCTGGGAACGCAACTAAATGCCGTAAAAACTAGCACGTGCCACTCAATGGAATTCAGAGCAGTATTAACAGTTGTGTGAACCGGGTGTATAGCCAGGAAAACACTGCAAGCTAAACTCAAAACTCTAGTGAGAATTTGAACTGAAATATGCACGAAAAAGAACGAGGCACATAAGCGAAAATTTACGTCGCTGGTCGCGCATAGAACTGTCCTTCGATTGCTTTGGGGTCTTTGTTGTGTTTTTGGGATGCGCCATGCACTTCATCCCCATTCAGAAGTGCAGCAGCTGTTGAATGGGTTAAGGAGGTGCGCCGTGTGGTGTGTCAGTCATTAGGACAGAAAGCGGCTTTTACGCGCTTTGCAGCGCGAACTATTATTCGTTGCGGGGATCTCAGGTCCGCTGTTGGTTTGCTGCGGGAACCTCGGGTCCACTGATGATGGGCAGTGGACCTGAGGTTCCCATAGCAGGAAATGTTCCGCAATTCGAAACGCTAAAACGTCTTTCAGTAAGTCTGCTGTCAGAGTCCACGATTCGTCCCACGACGAATTGCGGACACTGACATGCTGTTAATGGGAAACCACCTCTCTAAGTGCTAACGTGCCCACTGACGAGAGCGCCAAAGTTATAAAATGTCTCCGATAAGACATCAGAAACGCCCGGTGCACTGCCTGCATGTAGGAGCTATGGCATAGTACAGAAAAGCTAAGACACACTTTATATTTCTCAGCGAGAAATGCGCTCAGCAACTCTGGATTGCTGACTGAGAGGACCTGGGCCCGACGAGAAAAACGAAAGGGTCGCTCCCTGTGAGAAGCTACACTAGAGTTTCTCAATCAACAATCAAACGACTCCATAATCGAGATGCAAGTCAAATAGGTGACGCAAGAATGATTTTGGCTACCAAGAAAACGGGTGTGGCTCACTAGGACAGAAAGCGACTTTTTGCGTTTTGCAGCGCAAAGCATCTTCCGCTGCAGGAACCTCAGGACCACCGCGGATCATCAATGGACCAGAGGCTCCCGCAGCCATTCATCAATGGATCCGAAATCCCTGCAGCAAACAGTATTTCGCACTGCGAAACGCAAAAATTACTGAAGTGAGCAATGTCAAGTTCCAATGAAGGAGATTCAAGTTATGGAAGATATGAGCAACTCGCACAACTTATTATTTCAATAGGAAAATGTTCATCAAAAATCAGAATCAGAACTAGAAAAGTTTAGGATGTAGTCGCGAGTAAAAAGTGATAGTACACTGAATATTTAGTGAGTTCTCGTGCTACTAGGAAAAATAAAATTCTCTGAAACTACTGCTGTCGCCTGTTGTCTCAAACTCCCAAAGAAAATGGAACGAGGGATAGACGTCATGAAAATCGCTAAAAGTAGCTGTTAAGCTTATCAAAACGAAGCGGATGTGGTCCACTAGAACAGAAGGTGGATTTTCAGCGTTACGCAGCGCGACACATTTTTCGCTGCGAGAACCTCAGGTCCGCCTCTGATGATCATCAGTGGACCGAGGTTCCGCAGCGAAAAATCAGTGGACCCGATGTTCCCGGAGCGAAAAATGTTTCACGCCGCGAAATGCTAAAAGCTCGCGTTCTGTCCTAGCGAACTACACCCAAACAAAGCAGCAGTAGAAGGCGTGCCGCATCCCAAAAAGAGAAGATCACCGGCGAATGCTTCATCCTTTATCCTTTTTATGCAAAACGAATCAGACCCGGCAACACCAGTGAGATGAGCCCTGTACCCGCCTTTTTTTTTCGGGAGAAGACTGTTCAACCACAAACAAAAGACCTTCGTTGTGTAATATGTTCTTCAAAAAGATTGAAGAACATATTACACAATGAAGCTCAGGAATTCTATGATTAGTACACAAACAAAAGGTTAATTTACATGAACGGCGTCAT